AGAAGCGGAAGAGTTTCAGGTTTGTTGTTGATAGCTTAATTTCGCTATGGCTGCTGTTAGAGCGAGCCTTTTGTTTTGAGTCTTTGACCGAGTATTGTTGGAATGAGAGGCGTCGGACGTCTCTGTCTCTCTCTTGAGAAGGAAGGAATTGGACCGGCTGTTTGGTGTTGTTGCTCATAATTGGTTCTGATCGTGTTTTCTTCAGGGGCGTCGGGGGATTTGTTTGAGTTGCATTGATTTTTGGTTGTTGTTTCACTTGGGAGCTGGAGGATGAGCTATCATGGAGGAGATTCGTTCGCGCAGTCTTGTGTTTCAGCACAAGGTAAGTAGCCTTGTAGATTATTATTTCTTTTCTCGTTTTCTTGGGAAAATAAGTTGGTATTTTGCTCTGTATTTGAGATTAGTGGTTTCTACCGTCTGTTGATAGGTTGTGGAAGAGATGATCTGTATATGGAGCTATGGAGGGCTTGTGCTGGTCCACTGGTTGATGTACCTCGCGTAGATGAGAGAGTCTTCTATTTCCCTCAAGGGCATATGGAACAAGTCTGTCTAATGTTTTCCCGTTTCAGATCGGTTCTAATTTTTTGTTTGTTTCTGTGGAATTTGTTTACGAAAAGTGATCTGTGATTCATGAGGAAAATGGAAGTTACCGAATTTGTTGCTTTGTAGGCGTTGAATATTGTAGTCTGTCTGCTCTACTTCAATTTCTGAATCATTATGTAATATGCGTGGTTTTGAATTGGTACTATAACATTTCTTCTGGATTGTAGTTAGAGGCGTCAACAAATCTGGAGCTAAATAAGAGAATTCCTGTATTCAATCTTTCCTCAAAGATTCTCTGTCGCGTAATTCATATTGAGTCGCTGGTACTACTTTTCTTATCTTATGTTGCTCTGTTATTTCTGCTTATTTCATTCTAAGTTTGGTACTGAGAATGGGGAATCTATGCAGAATAGCACCTTGCATCCTTCTTAGTTTGTTATTATTTTCTGTCCCTTTCCCAGAAGATCAAAACTTCAAATTTAGTGCATGAACTGCTAAGCTTTGTTGTACCTTTTTAAGATTCTAAGTATTGGTAATAGTTCATTCCCTCATTCAGGCAGGTTTTACATTTTTTAACACTCAACTACGTTTATCAGCAAGAGAACAGGCATTTAAATACAAATTCAGTCTCTCTTATATAGTAAATATAAGTATTGTATTCTTAGTTATAATTTTCCCCCATGCTTGTAGGCAGACCGTGAAACGGATGAGGTTTATGCACAAATAACGTTAATGCCTGAATCAAATGTAAGAACCAGAGAACTTATTCCTGATTTGACTATTGTTGGAAATTTGGTTTGCTAAACTTCAAATTGTTTTTCTGAATAACAATCAGCTTTATTTGTGGTGTATATCTGCAGCAAAGTGAGCCTAATAGTCTAGATCCATGTCCTCCTGAACCAGCTAGACCAGTTGTTCATTCATTCTGTAAGGTTTTAACTGCTTCTGATACCAGCACTCATGGTGGGTTTTCCGTTCTCCGAAAACATGCCACTGAGTGCCTACCTCCGTTGGTGAGTTTTGTTCTTTGTTCCTCCTACAAGAAATTTTTTTTGCTCTCTCTCTCTCCCCCCCTCCTCATTTCTTAGACTTGTTAATCTCTCACCCTCTCTCTCCCTCTATCTTTCTCTACAAGTTTCTGGCATTAATTTCCCTTCTGAATTTTCAGGACATGACTCAGGCTACCCCGACTCAGGATCTGATAGCCAAGGATCTTCATGGTTTTGAATGGCGATTCAAGCATATTTTCAGAGGCAATGCATTATTTTTTCGTTCAAAGATCTTATACAAGAGCTCTTCCTTTAATTGTTGGTCTATGTAATTTGCTTGTTTGTATGTTACTTTATGTAGTGAGTTAAGTGGTTCTGTGAAACCCTTTCATAAGCATCGTGAAAGTTCAATTATCCAGTCTACTTTGCTGATAAAATGTTCTTTATTAAATGATCAGGTCAGCCACGAAGGCACCTGCTAACAACTGGTTGGAGTACATTTGTCACTTCTAAGAGATTATCTGCTGGGGATTCCTTTGTATTCTTGAGGTACCAGTTTTATCTTTCATGCCTTCATCATCCACCCTGCCTGTTGCATTTATATGTGAGAGAATCAAGCTGTCATAACTATAAACCTGGACTACAGGTTTATTTAAATCCTCTCTTCTTAATTTAATGCTGTAACTTTAAGGCACATGAACAGAAAGAGACAAAAAGAGGTAGGGTATACCAAGCAATTTACGTGGAAACCCTAAGCCCTACTACACTATAGGACTTCGTCTAGCATAAATCTGCTATATGAAGTTACAGGATTTGGATTTATAGACTCCCCAACATACCAAAAATGCCTCAAGTGTTCTCAAGTTTCCAACCTACATGTGTATTACGAATTACCTTAAAGCTTAATCATGTATGCTAATGATTGCAATTTTATCCTCCTAATATTGCTTCAAAAACTTCAAATATGATCCAAGAGCTCACCTCCAATGTTTTACGAAGAACACCTAATAATTGCTATCATATTTGTGACCAGAAATTATGATCTGAGAAAGAGAAGAGGAGTCTTGCTTTCCAAATCTTCATGAAAAGTACTAGGTGCAACTCAAATGTAGAATCTTCCTTGTCTAAAACTCTTTTCTTTTTCTTGGCTTTCAATATTTTAGAACCTTTCAGAATGATCTCTACAGAAATAAGAATGGAAGCAGTTGTTTTAATGGACATTTTGGTGATAGAAAAAGATATTGTACGTGGGCCTGAGCCATACAGTTATTCTTTTTACCTTGCTCGAGCGAACTATTGTTTGTTTGAATGAACATCGCATAGACCTCTATAAATGAGCAAACGCTTCTGCTATAATGGAGATATTGCGAGTATCACTCATTTAGCAGTGATATTTTTGCTTGAGCCAGATCCCGCTTTCACTCTATGAAGAACGGCAGCCAGCAGTATCTGTTGTGATTCTGAGAATACAGCACGGTAACTGATATTCTGACAATTATTCTAAGAGTCCCCAGCAAGCTGTCCTCAAACATGGAACTCAGTTTATTTTGAAATAGAGATTTAAACGCTAAAATGTTGGAGGAGTTTTATGAAAACATAAAGTGCCAACTTAACTTAGTTACAAACTTGACTTGATATGCTTGGAATTACAAAATTAGTTAACTAGTTGTTTAGAAAGGGTTTTTATTATAACGGTCTTTTCTTCAATACATAATGTATCATCATATGAACTACAATCTATATTCAATTTCTGTGGTTGAACAAGCTTTAATTCATGTGAGAGTTGGTTCAAATAGGGGAGACAACGGAGAGCTTCGAGTTGGGGTGAGGCGTCGTGCTCGGCAGCTAACTAGCATGCCATCATCTGTGATATCGAGTCAAAGCATGCACCTAGGAGTGCTCGCAACTGCATCTCATGCTGTTACAACTCAAACCCGCTTTGTAGTCTATTATAAACCAAGGTACTCATGTTTTTTAATTATTGAAGTCATTAATATTCTCATTGGAGTGGACTGAAGTTTTTTTCTCCGTACATCAGGACTTGTCAGTTCATCATAAGTCTGAATAAATACTTGGAAGCAGTCAATAATAAATTTTCTGTTGGCATGAGATTCAACATGAGTTTTGAGGGAGAGGATTCTCCGGAGAGAAGGTAGTGAAATAAATAATAAAATTACTGTGAATGTTCTTCATTTTTGAGCTTTATCTCTGATATATTTTCCTTTTACTAATTAGGTTTTCGGGAACTATAATTGGTGCTGAAGATATTTCACCTCATTGGCATAATTCAAGCTGGAGATCACTAAGAGTGAGCTCCCCTTGAACTCAGTTCCCCACCGGGAGTACTATTGTTTCAATACTTTTTGAATGATTTACTTAATTTAATAGTTTTCAGGTTCAATGGGACGAACAAACAACTATTCCAAGACCTGACAGGGTGTCGCCTTGGGATATAGAACCACTCACGTCTTCAGCAGCCACAAATCTAACTCAACCAGTTGCGAAAAACAAAAGGCCTCGACAACCAACTGAAACTGCTCTTGGTGTGTGACGGTTTTCTTAATGCTCTCTTTTGTATTTTATCTGTTCTTTTATTCTTATGTACATATGTGCAAGTCAATGGATCACAGTTTTATCCTATTTTTGGTTTCCAATTGAACTGCAGATGGTGCTGATTTTACTAAACCAGCACTTTGGGATTCTGGATTGGCACAGCCTCATGATGGTAAACAGTGCAGTAATGCAGCTGAAAGCAGAAAAGGTGAAAATAATGAATTGTGTCAACATAGAGAGACGGATACTATCAGCATCAGCACATGTGTATCAAGAACACAGACCGATGGGGCCTGGCTATCTTCTACCCAATCCAATAGTCATAAACACCCAGTAAATGACATGGCGCTAGATTATAAAACTGTCTCTGGTTGCGGTTGGTCTTTTCTATCAGGACCTACACCACCTTCAAACTCTTTGGTGAAGTTAAGCGATGATCAAATACTTGATCCCACTGAAAATGGGAGGAAAGGTGAGACAGTGGCCAGTTGTAGATTGTTTGGTATTGATCTCAATCATTTGGCTAGACTTCCTGCGGAGAAGGCATCTTCTCAACTAAGCAGTGTGTCTAGTGAGACAGAAGGACGCATCAGTACGTTGTCAGTGGCTCATTCTGATAAAAAATCTGACATTTTGGAGGTCTCCATAGAAAGAACATCAGAACCATTACAAGCATCTCTGAAGGAGTCTCAAAGCAATCAGAGTAGCTCAACTAACACTAGAAGCCGCACCAAGGTGCAGAAATTAAACTCATTTCCTCAATTTAGTTTTTAAGAATTTATAGTCCTGAACTAAGTAGGCAATTCGTTTTTACTCTTGTTTGGTGTCCAATTATGCCAAAAGGTTCACATGCATGGAATGGCCGTGGGTAGGGCAGTGGACTTAACCATCTTAGAAGGCTATGACCAACTAATAGATGAACTTGAGAAGATGTTTGATGTTAGGGGACAGCTGTGTGCTCGAGATAAGTGGGAGATTGTATATACTGATGATGAAGGGGATATAATGCTTGTTGGAGATGACCCATGGGAGTGAGTACCATTAGTTACAGCTACTTAAACTGTATGATTCTCGTAGACCTTGCTTTCTCTTATTACTTTATTTTTCCATCTTTTGCAGAGAATTTTGTAACATGGTGAGAAGAATTTTTATATGCTCTAGGGAGCAAGTGAAAAAGATGAGCTCAAGAAGCAAGCAGCTGCCTTCAGAAGTTGAAGAGGCTTAATCATCTCTGACTCCTTTGCAATTTGAGATAGGAACTTAAATTTTGTTATTTGAACTCTACTTCGTATCTTTTCCTTGGTTGTTTGTTTGGTTAGAGCTTGTTTTGGTTTTGGGTCAATAATAAAAGTATTAAATTGAAAGAGGGGCAAATGAAGGGCTGTTTATGTGACTGCTTATTTTTTATAGCCAATTCGTCAACTGGATTTTAATAACATGAAAATCTTAGTAGGCGCCAAAGGAGGGCGACTGGATGTTCAGTGTAATAATGCACTATCAGTGGGATTTGTTCTTTGGGTATGGGATGAGTTTGTGTGAGTCTTCTTCTTTCTTTCCTGACCAATGTAAATAAACGCCTCTTACTGTATTTCAATCATTTTATTCGACTAGGCAGAAGACTGGAAGCATCATTGGATGCATAAGATTCAAGGATTGAACACATTCGAATGTAAATCTTCTTCAATTTGGTTTACTCGTGTTTGAAACTTACTTGCATGAGAACCTTTTATTTTCTAGCATATTTGAATTCCATGTTCGGTGGTTAATGCAATGAAGTGAGCCAGGAAAATGTTTTAGTTGGCAATTTTCGAGTAGTAGCTTCTTACATTCTGAGCTTTAACAGGAATATCTTGACTGTCTGATGATCTCAATGCCTGGCTAGCTGTTAATTGCAATGGGAGATTGCAAAAAGCTTGTTAATATATATACATATATGTATATGAATATGAACTTATTTTTCCAACGCAGGTTGGATCAACGCCTTCAGCATATACTCTGACTTGATCCTTCCTGTTGTTGCAGCTGCGGATGGCGGAGTGAATATGATACCATCTCTGCAGTCTGGTTGGAAGTCAGGGGAAGCTCCGATGGCAGTGGCAGAGTCGGTGACGGTGCTGCCACAGGCGGATCGGGACATCTGATTGGTGGGATAACTGAGCATCTACAGAGGGGACAAGTTGAGTTGGTGGTGAGCCAGTGGTTCATGCAGTCAATATGAAACACATGTTTGCATGATGGGACTTGCAACAATTCCTCTTTTATCTCAAATTCTCCCAGGCAGACGCAGCACCTGTTCAATTGGATAAGAAGAAGAGGGGCGCAGAAAGTTATTGCTTTTTCTTTGTTTCTCGGCACTCCATCTCCAACCCCAACTCTTCCAAGGACACCTATTGGACCATAAAGGTTCATTTGAAACCCTTTTCCATACCCAAATTAGGTTCTCTTAATGTTTCCAGAGTTTTATAATTTGTTTTTAGAAATTAGATTACAATTGGAGTAGGATTTGAATTAGCAACTAACAAGGAAAGTAGAGGGGACATTTTTGGAAGCTCGAATAATATGATTGACAGTTTTATCCTGATGGAAAATGTATTTAAGAGAAATTACAAAATGTATTTCGAATATGTATCAAATGGTTATTAGCCTATTAGGGGCATATAGTATTCGAACTTGTACCCATATTAGGAGCGGAAAGGAAGATATTGATGTCTATCCTTTCTTTTTTTATATATATATATATATATATAGTTTGATAATTGATACCTAATATGTTGAGAATGGCAATTTCATAATTGATACCCATATTGGTCCTTACAAATTTCTTTGGTACACAAAAGAGAGGTTGAAGATCAAAGAAATCTAGACTCATATGGGAAATGATTAAATCATTAAATTTTATTACATGTAGAAAAGATCAATACTTGTGAAAAGAAATAGATTTTTCTTTATAAAAAGAAAATTAAAGTTGGTTTTCCGGGAAGATAATTTCTTGAAACTACTTGTTAAAGTAAAAATGGAATCGAGAATACTTCATAGAAATAAAATTGGAAGAAAGAAAAGAAAAATTCAGACATGGCCTTAGTCTTCAACATCAAAATTGTCGGTCTAAGGTTCTACGAATATCACCTTTCAATAAAACAAAACAAAAGCAACTTTAGTGCCAAAATTTTAAAAGCCACTTTTTGAGAAATTAAAGAGCGGATGTTATAAGAGATTCCAATCACTGAAACGAAAAAAATATATATCGAAGAAATTGAATAAAATCTCTTTTTTTWAAAAAAAAAAAAGGAAAAAGATCAGCTTCACTTTTAGCTTTATATTATTTGTTATTTGTGCTTCCTATTTATGTCACTAAACCAACCTTCCATCTCTATCTCTCAACTGTTACATTTAATTTTTTTCGGGTTAAAGTTTATATATCCAATTAAAAGGTTAGGAGTTCCAATCTTTGGCATATATTGTTGRAAAAAAAAACGGTTAAGACGAGACAACTAATCTATTAAGATTATGCTAATATGATCGGCACACCCATTGATTAAAGTCATACTATTTGTGCACGTGGGTGGCACGAGGATCAATGCCAAGCAAAGCTTTTGAAGAATTCAATATCCCAAACCCATTTAGAGAGGAACCACTGTTCATGAACCTCTTTTTTCTTCAAAAACTTCAAGGGAAAAAAAGGCAACCAAGTTTTAGAAATGGGTGATAATACTTACAGAGAATCTCTGGCCCTCAGCTCTTCATTGAATAGGATCTTGGGAAGTTTTTCAATTGGATTATCTGCCTTCGAGTCCACTTGACAAGCCTATACAAATCAAATGCACAATTAAAGATCAATGAGACTATGAAGAAACAAAAATGGGACAAAATCAGCAAACTCAACTGCAAAACAGAACACAGCAACCCCCAAAAATGAAAGATGAAATATTAAAGCTTTGATTTTTTCTAAGATACTCCTCTCAATATTAACGCGAGACTTCTGGGCTCATCAATTTTTTTTTTTTTTCCTTTTAGACTAGATGTTGGTTTGAGTTTATTTATGGATTCCTGTCTTAATATTGATTATCAATAAGAGAAATAGTTCATGTATTTATAAACCTCACTAAGTCTATTGATCTTTTAAATGTGGGATTCTTAACATCTCCGACCCTCACAGAAACTCCAAAATATGCAAAATGAAGCAAATTTTCATGAGAGAGAGAGAGAGAGAGAAACAGGGGTGCTTTACTTACAGTGGTAACATAGAGAGTGAGCGCATTGGAAGAAGTTGGAAGAATTGGTGGGGAAGAAGAAGAAGAAAAAGAGAGAGAGGAAGCCCTTCTCTTGAGGTAGAACAAGTAGAAAAGAAGAAAAAGAATAATGGAGAAGAGGATTGGAATGGAGAATATGAAGGCCTGATAAAGCTTCAGCTGCAGTGCTTGAGGATAAAGATGAGGAGGGGCTGGAGTTTGAGGCAAACCCATATCAAAAAAACTATTACTGAAGATTAAACCCAATTCTCTTCCTCAAAATTCAACAAAGAAACAAAGAAAGCTCTTGCTTTTGCCTTTGACAGAAACAGAGGAGCTTGTTTAAGGATGTCACTTTGCCAACAAAACAGAACCAGAGCTTGTTTAAGAGGAGTTTTGAGATCAAAATTTATATAACAAAATGGTATTTATTCTTTCTCTTTCTCTCTCTATTTTTCTTTTTTCTTGAGAGATGATGGGACATGGCCACAACCCTCCACTGAAGCAGAGGGCCCTGTCCTAACCAAAGCACTGAGGCCCCCCTATGTCTGCATTCCATCTTCCAACAGCTTCCTTCCATAACTGTAATCTTCAACTTGTCTCACCTCGAGTAAGGGCGAGTTTGGAATGACTTTTAAGAAGGCGAAAAGTGCTTTTTACCCGTTAAAACTACTTTCGAAATTTTGAAAGTGATTTTGAAAATTCTAAAAATACTTGAAAGTAGTTCCAAGATAAAGATTTCTAAGTTTGTTTGAGATGGGTTTTTAAAAAGTCGGACGAATTACTTGTTTATAAGTGAAATTAGATAACTACAAGTGTTTTTTTTTTTAAATTTAAAGTATTTGGTTATATAATCAGGTTGCTTTAAAATTCATTTTTTAAAAAGATATATCAGACTACTGGAAGGTGTTCTTTTTTTTCCCCTTCCTTTTACAAAACCCATTCAAAGATGTTCTTCATTATTGTTCCTTCAAATTTAAAGCTGTTTGGTTAGTAGGTCAAATTGAGATCTAACCACTCTACAAGGGAAAAAAAATGACAAAAGGACACCCATAATTGACAGCAAATGGTGTTTGGTTTTGGTAAAAATTCAACATTAACACTTCTTTATTACATACATTTAAGGTTGTCTGTTTGTCCCATCAGCTACAGTCACTCTCTGTGTGGAGCTGCTGCCATTGCCATTGCCATTGCCATGTTCCTCAGTGGACTTAGAAAGCTAGCTGTTTTCCTACAACCTTAAGAAACACTCAACTTTTCCTTTCTTTTTTTCTTCTTTTGGTTCTTTCTTTTTCCTCTGTGATAATAAATGATTGGAAAATGGAATATAGGAAATGGGAAGCCATTTGGTAACTAAAAAAGTGATTCTATTTGGATGTAATGAAGGTTTTTGTAAAGAGAAAGTTGGAGTATTAATCTTGGTGTACAAGTAAGTGATCATAATGTGGTTTGATAGTGAAACTTCAGCAATTGGGGAAATTTAAAGAGGTTGACTTTAAGGAACTTAGTTTGCATAAAAAAAACCATTGAGGTTGTTCAATTTTGTGTAGAAAATTCTCAAGTTTTCAATTTCCAGACCTGTTTATATTTCAACATAATTTCTCTCATTGCTATGGATCTGTGAATTATTAAGACTGCTTGCAAAGGTAGCAAAAAAAATTAATAGAAATTTGTAAAAGTAGTAACCATATTTTGCAAAAGAGCAAAATCTGAAAGCCCAACCCATAGGAGAATAAAGTAGAAGTTCGATGTACCTCTAATGAACACGGAGTCTAGATAGTGATATACTTGATATACCAATAATATACCTGACATAGATATTTGATTGAGAGTTGATATACCAATAATATACTTGATATGAATACTGATATATCAATGATATACTTAATATATATACCTAATTTAATATACCATTGATATATCTGATAATCTGGAAAAGCAAAACCCGAATAACTAAAACTTAAAAATCAAATTTCAAATATTTTGTCATATTTGTAAAACTCAAAAGTCATTGCTATATTTTCAAATATGACAATTATTTTAACTACACATTGCTAAGTTTCCTAAATTATTTAGGTAGGTGTTGAATTTTTTATTTATTTATGAGTTTGAAATAATTTTTGCATTCTTTTATGCTTGTTTTTTCAATATTTTTATCAACATTGATATTTCAATATTATTTTTCAAATTTTATGTTAACATTTGATATTATATACCCACTTGTTAGATCTATTTAATAACTTCTTTGACTTAAAAGAATAAGTGATCCTTGTTTATTGATTAAATTATAAGTTTTGTATTTAAATTTTGAGAATTGTATCCAATAAATCTAATAGGTTTGAACATTTTAACTGTTGTGTTTAATAGATTCCTAAATTTTAGAAAGTGTAACAAATCCTTGAAACTTCAATTTTATATCGAGTAATTACTGTGTTTAATAAGTTGGTTTTATTTGGTACAAAATTTAAAGTTCAATAACTTTGGATACAAAATTAAAATATCGTGGACCTATTAGACAACCAACTTTCAAATATGTATTATTACAAAAGTAACTTCAAACGTAACATCTTCTCGATTCTTTTGGGAAAAAAATCATTAATCATTTATTAACTTAATAATAGTAACCAATTTAAAATAACATGATTGATTATTGATCTAAATGTATGAAAATGTCAACTTAGATATGATTTTTTTTTTCAAAATAAGATATGAACCTTTTGAATTTATAACTAATCTCAATTTGAACCTAGTTAATGGAAAATATAATTTAAGCATAATTCAATTAATTAAAGTATTATTAATTTATGCGAGTTTCAATTTCATTGATTATTTGCACCAGATTTCCTGCTTCAAATTCTCTCTTTCAACTAATTAAGGTATAGTTGATTACCTATATTCTAATTATTTTTTATACAATAATTTAAAAAGAAAAAAGCACAATGGCCTTGAGAATCATGAAAGTCACATTATTTATTTATTTTTTAAAACAAAAATCTCTTACATAAATCTTAAGCAACTATCCTTCAATACTTTACTGCGCCAAAATAATAACGAAAAAGAAAAAGTAAAGAATATGTTCGAAGCATTATCATAAAGTGATATTTACGGTTTGAACTGCTCATCATTACAATTTAAAACTTATGATGTGACATTAAAGGTTGTTGCTTTAAACTTTATTTCAAAATAATTTTCAATTTTTTCAATTATAAATTTTGTGAAAACATCCTCGATTAACTACTTCTTTTAATAGGTTTCACAAATGACTTATTCTTAAAAAAAATAATAATAATAATTAAAAAAAAACCTTATTCCTTCAGAAAAAAAAAACATGAAGCCCCTCACGGAGCCAACTTTTATACAAGTTCTCAAGTTTCTTATTCTCTTCCCAAGAAACTCAAACCACATCCTCTCTCTAAATAGAAAAAAATAAAGAAACTCAAACCACATCCTCTCTCTAAATAGAAAAAAATAAAGGTTAAATTACAATTTTAGTCACTAAACTTTTAAAATTGTGTCTAATAGAACTTTAAAATGTATCTAATAAGATCACTGGACTTTTTATTTTATTTTATTATTATTTTTTATAACTAGGAGTTAACTTTGTTCTTATATACCCACAGGAGACCCGCACCCGCCCCAATACCTGGACTCAGGAGACATCRAGAGTTTTTAGTATTAAATTCACCAGAAAGTTCGGATTTGAGACCTTTAAACCAATATGACATACTAAACTTTTAATTTTGAGTATAATAGATCTATGAACTTTCAATTTTATATCTAAGCTCCTAAACTATTCAACATTTTATAAAATGTACAGTCATATTAGATGTAAAATTGAATGATGTCTAAAAGGATCTTTTTAACTCTTCAATTGTACATTTAATAGATTCATAAATTAAAAAACGTTCTAATAGATTAGAAACCTATTATACAAAATTGAAACTTCAAGAGCATGTTAAAAAAAATTTTAAGTCTAGGATCCTATTAAAAATAGGATTRAAAGTTTATGAACTTATTAGAAATATAATTGAAAGTTTACGAACCTATTAGACACATTCCAGATTTCAATGGTTAACTTATAATTTAACCAAAAACAAATTATGATTCCAACGGGCACGATAACATTAACTTTTACGAGTCACTCCATCGCAATTTTAAAAACAAAAAACAAAAAACCAAAAACGATGTTCAAAACAGCCCCACATGTACCTAGTACCCACATGCTTGTACTTTTTTTTTTCTTTTCCTCTTTCTTTTCAATCCAAATGCACTTTCAACGGAGAGTTGTTTGTTGATTGAATAGAACAGGACCGTCGTTGGTGGAACATTAAAAAAAGCTCTCTATAACTAAGTGGATTTTCCAGCTATGAAAGATCAACAATCAACATCTAATCTACAATCTATTTTTCTATCTAATCTACCTTTTTTCCTACCTCCAACAGCACTTCCATTGGATGGCTGATCAAACAACAGCAATCAGATGGTTATGGATAAAGGCTAAATGGCCATAGAGTTATCACAATAGCAGCACTCATTGTGAAAAGGAAACGCACAAACTGAAACTACAGATATTTTCCATTGCTTTTTGAATAAAATTCTCCCAAAGATGATGTGAAGGGCCAAGAAACTTGATTACAAGTTCCAACTCAGGCATACTTAGTATTTTCGTTTCCTTACCTTGAAACTCATTGATCGAACAACGTCGTCTTCTGCTTGAAGTGTCTCCTCGAGAATTCCCATCGATTCGGGTTTTGTGAAGTAGGTGAAGAGGAGATAGATGCCATCCAAGTAAGTGTTGGTCTCACCAGCTTTGTTTTTCTTCTTGATGCTGTATGCTAGTGGAATGACCCCTCTGTTGAATACCTCCAAATACATGCCACCCCCGGCAACAAGCAACTGCAAAATGGGCAATCCTTATCAAACACTATGCTGAAGAAAACAAAACTAGCTTGATTCTTATCCACAAATGATTTGTCCCTTACCCAGAGAATTATTTGCTTATATAGAGCTAAATTACTTATGAACAAAGGACAAAGAAAATGTTATACGTTAATCAAAACCAAAATCATTTCAATCAACTAAGATCATCAATTGATGCTTATGGCACAGAAACCCAAATTTTGTAACCTCGCATGTTAATCAAGATCAGAATTATTTCAATCAACTAAGATCATCATTTGATGCTTACAACAAAGAAACTCCCATTTAGTAACTTCACACCACAACCAGAATTTTGTTTATATCATGGATGGCTATTACTTTCTATCGTTATAATATGCGCATGTCAAAAAAGAAAAAGATGTTTGTATTCCCTTCAATGTTTTCATGATAAGGGGTGCATACATGTAAAGAAGATATCGAGCAAACAGATTCCTACAAGAAATATATTGCCCATTCAGGAAACCATGTTGATATTCAGGTCACGAAACTTTTCCTCCTCAAATGTATCGTAAATATCTTTCCTCTCTTTCCTGCCTTTCTTGAACGTTCTCTCATAAATATGGGCTTAGTGCTGTCACAGTCCTTAAAACAAATCAGCAATTGCCCTTCATATCAAAGTTGTTTGACACTACACTATATTTATTTGCATGCCCCTCGACTAGATAACCGTCTTACCTTATTACGTTTGGTTGCCAAGATAACTCGTAGGATATTAAATCTTAGATAGATGGTCACATGGTCTGAACCAATTCCCCTTAAACCCTTTACTATTTAGGTTGGCACTTGTTGACCACTAGACCAACCCATGATGGTTACATTACACTATGACATGAGATTAAAAGATCAAGTCTATCTTCAAAATGTGCATTTACTTATTTCAAACTATAAGTTTGTTAACGTTACGAACTACAAAAATTTATGTTACATGGATCCAGATTAACAGAATCCACATGTAATACTTCATACTAATTTTTAAAAATTCTCTAAACTCACCAACTAAATACAAGTCACACAACCTCAGATTCGAAAAATCAATTCCTTTCCACAATCCAACCATATATTACACAAACCCAGCCTTCCTAACTTCAGACTTCATAAACCCAAGTTTCTTGAAAGTCAAACATCCCTAAAGTTCAACTAAAATTCTCTTTACTCAAAGAAATAAGAGAAGCCATCTCATCCCTACCGTCTCTACATGACTTAGAGGGCTTCACACGACAGGAAGTTCTCATATAGAGGAAAACTCGTATATAAGCACTCCACAATCTAAATTTTCATGAGCTATCTCCATTACTTGAAGAATATAAGTTCTGATTGAGCAAATTTCTCATCTCATTACTTTGCAAATGGTTGGCCACAAGAAGTATGTACTCTTCAACCCAATTTAAACAGAGCAAGAAACAGAATTTTGTCTCTCAGATATGAAACTTGTGTTAAAACATTTCCATTTCCTGATCAATCAAAGGGAAGTTACCTCTTCGTATTTCTGGGTGAGAGCGAGTCTGTCGTCTTCAGACATGTCAGGCCTCAGAACCACCATAGTCTCGTACTTGCGAAGCCCCGGAGGGCACTGGGGCTCCTCCTTATCCTCAATGGCGGCGGCGAATCCTGTCCCGGGAGGGGAAGGGGGGTCATCCTCAGACCCGAACCCGGATTCGAAGAATGAACCTGAAAATTCAAGAGTTTGGGCTTTCGGAGGGGCGATTCCGTGGGGAAAGAAGAGAGATTTGGAGGGTCGGAGGGAAATTTGATGGGTGAATTGGGGAAGGAATAAGGATTTGGAAGAGAGAGGAGAAGTTGAAGAAGTAGCGGTGAGAGTGGAAGCGAAGGCCATGATGGGTTAATTAGAAACAGACTCGGAAATTCAGTGGCAACGATGAGATAGTGAAGAAGAAGAATATATGGATATTGGATAAGAGAGAAGGTTCGTATTTCTCCTCCTAATGCTCACTCTATGCGCTATTCCGCTTTAAAAATTAATTCTCTCTTATCTAATTGCCCTAATTAAACTGGTAATTGGGATTTCTGACTGAAGTTTATAGATTTGGACTTTTCATCAATTTTTTTTTTTTCACCCTATGATCTTCAATCTCTGAATCACATTAAGCTAAGCGTACTCGATTCAATATTTTATGTTTTCAGTTGGATAGTTGATTTTTGGCACTATTTGAAGCAACCATCTGATTATATTGATTTATTTTGGTGTTTTATGGAGTTCAATCGCATTATTTTCAAAGTCAGGACAATCTTGGATTAAATCTCGATTGGTTTCGATCTGGGATGGAAGGTAGAGAGGATCCGAGATTATTTGTATAGGCCCAGGATCAATTACACCAAGGTGACCCGAACATCTTATTCTACCTTTCATCCCAGACCCGATCCCGACCTATCGGGATTGGGATGAAAGGTAGAATTGAGTTTTTCCCCTACTTCMGTCTTTATTAACTTTATACTTAAATTCCAATGTCAATTGTTTAGGGAATTATGGAAATGAGACTTAAAATCAATCGGCCAGATTAATTTCCTACCTCATTAATGAACATTTCCCATTTAGATAAAACGGTAACCACCCTTAAGGCTAAGTTAACCGCGACCCAGTTAAACATGTTTAAGCAAACATGTTTGGTCTCATCATGGATATGGACATACATTGATCCATCACCTATTGTTGAAGGAGGTTGATGAGTCTAAACCTAATGTTATTAGTTTTGACTTGTTAGGGAATCGGGTGTCCTTTAGCAAGAGGGAGTTTAACCTAGTTATTGGGCTAAAGCACGAATCATTTAGACGATGATATTCCTAGCCGATCTAGTTTTAATGATGACGTCTAGATTCAGTGTAAGGAGTTGGAAAAAATATAAAAAGACTTTAAGTTTGATAATGACGAGGACGCAACTAAGATTAGTGTAGTTCACTTTATAGAGCTTGTCATGATAGGTAAGTAGAGAAGCAATTTATAGCCTCCTAGGTATTGTTAAGGATTAAGAGACAATCTGCAACTACGACGAAAGTAGGATGATTTTCAAAGGATTCATTGGAGCCTCCATAATGCCCTAAGAGATAGACTAACGACGTACTAGCAGAAGTCAAAGAAGGACCACAACCACATAGAGACTTACAATCTGTACGGTTTTCCACTTGCTTTTTATTATTATTATTATTATTTTGACGAATTTTCCACATGCTTTTTAGGTTATTATAGTTTAAGTTATCTTATTTATTTAACTACATGCTTATATTACTTTGATGTGATTGCAGGTATATGGGCGTACGATAAAACATCATTCATCCGTCCATTCTCCAATGACGAGCGACCAGGTGGATGATGTAGTAGCAAAAGAGGAAGGAAATGATGAAGAAGTTATGAAGAAGATGATGAAGAAGAAAAAGAAGAATAAGGATATTCAAAAGTATCTAAAGAGTCTCAATAATCGAGTGGGTGACATTGAAATTACTTTGAAAGGTATTAAAAAGTATTTAAAGAAACTTTCGAAGGTGTGTCATCTTTTTATTAATGCTTATTTATGTTAAAGATGAATAAACCACTGCTCAATCCAAAATCTTAAACTAATGGATTTAATAAATTTAATTTATGTATTCTCAACAATTTAATTGAGTTGTATTGTGAAATGTATTATTCTTTTAATCGTTTTCATGCATGGTAAGTTTGCTTATCCAAGTAAATATCTTGGAGGGAATATTTATGAGATCTTAATCAACCCGACGTGCTTCTATTTATCTGTAATATCTTTCGTTTCATTCAAGCGGGATCTAAAGTTTCTGTTTTATTGGGTAGTAGGGGTGACATCGGTCCGTCGGGACAGTTTTCAAGCTCAAACTAATGCTGATCGTCGGTTTCCAGAAATAGAAACCGACCAACCACTTTGGCCACTTTCTCACCGACCGACAAAACGGTAGGTTCGATCGGTTGGTTTTCGACGGATCGATTATTGGGCGGAGCTACTGTGACTCCTCCATTTTTCATCAGTCGAAATTTGTCCATTATAGCCGGAAAAGAAGAAAAATAGATAAAAAGAGAGAATGGGAGAAGAAAGCATGGTGGAGAAGAAAGAAAGAAAAGAAGTAGAGAGAAGACATACCTTTCAAACAAGAAAAAAAACACTAAGAGATGGAAGTTAAAGAAAAGAGAAGGAAGGAGAGGGGAAGATGAAGATGAGAAAGAGAGAAACGAAGCAAAGGAATAAGAGAAAAAAAAAAGAAGGAAAGAGAAGATAAAAAGAAATGAAGGAAAGAATAAAAATTAAAAAGTAATAATAATTTTCTCTCCGGAATAATTGGCCTTCGAAAATCAAACAAGTGCCGCTGGCATGGCAGTCGGCGTGCAGACTGCATTTTATTTTTTTTAATTATTAAGTAATAAAAACCGGTCGGTCGGTTTTGAATTTTTCACCCTGACAGACTTCTTTATTAATCGATCGATTCGATTTTTCGGTTTCTTTTATTCACTCTTACTAGTTGAATACTTTCGGCTGTGGGTTATCAACCCACTTTTGATACCAAACCTAGTTCCTTACAAGAAAGAATTATTTCTACCAAGAAATGGTTCATAACTTCTATTTAAGCAGTTGATRTACCTGCCGACGATATGATCGATCATAGGACTGTGGGCTAGATGGTGAGGGTCCATCCGTACAACAGCCTGATATGAGTGAGACTGTCATTCTTGTCACGATCCAAGACCAACAATCTCGGACTCTTCAATCCTGGTCTAAGACTTCTATGAATCCTAGACTGAGATTGAATAATTGTACATGCCATTACAAGATTCATATGAATCCTAGACTGAGTATGCATTCCTATCCGGGATTCAACCTTTCCTTGTCAGTTTTCTTTTTCAAATGCCACCATCTAGCCTACTCGTGATGAAGTTGCATTCACTAAGTACATCGTCGTGGTGGGAATTCTTTACTACCAGTCAAGATGGGACTCAAGAGAGGAGAGAGGAAATTCACGCATGAAGAAAAATAGTGATTAAAAAATGTAAATTCTAAATATTATTCTCAAAACCTTGTAGTACCTAATTTGTGAGGGCGGGTCATTGTTGGACCAAAAACTTTAACAAGGTGAGAACAATGTGTTGAAAATGTGAAGACTTAGTGAGAGATTTCTTAGGTATAATTGATTTTTCAAAATTACCATCTAAATGATAATTTAAAAATCACTTTTAAACTTTCTTAAAATTAATTTATTTWTTTTTAATTTGTCAAACATGATCAATAAAAGAGAAGTGATTTTGACAATGGAAAAGTAATTTTGTCACGTCAAAATCACTCCCAAACACACCACACCATTAGTTAGGAGAAAGTAATGAAAACATGACCAAATTTAGGGTAAAAAAATGTTCAGAGGTTACAAGTATAAATTTTTAGAAAATGAGTCAAAAGTTCAGAATCTCAATTACCCAATTGATGTGTCATAGCCCATAATTTTCTTACAGAAGTAGCAACCTTAACTAATTAGTAATTCCTGAAAGATGTTGATGTGTTAAGATAAATCACATTTTATTTTTAATTTATGAAATATAAACTCAAATATTGGCTTAGTTGTTAGTAAGTTTTTGCAAGATACAATTTTTCCTCGAGTTGAATCATCCAAACATGGCAATTTAACATATTGGGCCTTTATTTTTGGTTGGTCAGATTCCTTGTTATCTCTCTTGTGGCCCATATTGAAATACAACAACTTTCTTCCGAAGGATTCAGCCCATGTACCTTGTTGGGCTCGAGCCCAACTGCATTCAACTTGACCATGACTTCGCGAACAAGCAAATGTAGTCGAGAATCGAAACAAAGCCATCCGTTTACCATTGCCCTTGAGTTGAAGAGTGAAGAATCGAATAAGGCCGATTCGTTTTCAATCTTTTTTAACAAATCTAAACATTCTGCGACTAACACTCTTTTCGTAACATTATCAAAATTTTCTTAGAGTTTGTTTGGTAACGTTCCCATTTGTTTTCAATTTTCTTAAGAAATCTAACTATTTTGCAACTTACAATGTTTCATATTTCTCCTTCAAAACATTCTCAATATTATATAAAAATTTTGGAAACAGTCAAAATAAATTTCCTTCTTTCTTAATCTCATTTTCAATTTATTCTAAAATATAAATAAAAATTTTATTTTATTTTTCTGTATTAAAAATGAAACATCATAAACAAGAAACAGTAACATCATCAATCATCAAACGAGTCCTTATTTCTTATTTATTATTTCTAAATTGTTGTAAAACATAAACAAAAAAAATTATTTTATCATACTTGAAAACTGATACAGAAACGTTATCCAACGGATCCGAACGATCTCTCTCGAGTCTCACATTCATGTCAGTTGAGGTGGCTCTCCATTGATTTGTTTGTCTTCTTCCCAGGTCTCTCTAACTCTGCTTCTATAAACATCGAAATGTTTTGTTCCCATATCCCAGTTCTCAGGACCCCATATTACGTCACACGAAACTAAACTGCCACACACACAGAGCCAATGATGCCAGCCCATGGATCGCTCGGGCCGGTGGCCTTACCGAATCCCCTCACTTTTGTTCTTCCTCACACGTTACGTCCTCACATTCTTTCTTTCGTCATTTTATGGTAAAGACTTCAGTTTTCAATTCCTGGTTTGCCGTCTTGAATGTTAACATATATATATATATATAATCATTTTTGGACCGGAGGATCATTTGATCTTTTGGATTCTGATACGATATTAATACTCATAGATTGTTCTATCTCAAAACCAATTGACAATGAGAGAAGTAGCACGCTTATATTATAAACTCTTGTTAGGTCCTTTTTTTCAACGTGGGGTCTTTAACAACTTCAAATGTTTAGATCCTCGAGATCTAGATGACATTATCCTATGAAGTGACAATCCCAATATATGTGGACTTGGTGATGGTGATTCCATCATCTTTGTCTGAAAATGAAATTGAAGTAAGATATTTGAAGTAATTGGGTGTAGTTGATAACAATCCATATCTCCCAATCAATGTGCTAATCAGCACTATGGGGAGAGTAGATTACTCAGAGAAACTAAGAATAATAAAAGGTGCACCAAATCCTACAGTCCCTCCCTCCATAGACAATGTATGTTATGGAGAATATATTAAATGAATCCAACTTAACATCTTCAACTTTTGGGTGATTTGATTTGGATCAAAGGAAGTTATTATTTCAGATTGCTGCACTATCTTTTTCCCTTTTTTTCTTATAAAGGTTTGTATGTATCTTGCAAATTAAACTAATGCTCAAGTTACATAACAAAGAGGGTCGATGTCAAATTTGAGAAATATACTTTAGTCAAACAACTTACCCCTGATCAATGAAAAGGAAAAGAGATTTTGACAATGACCAAAATCACTCTCGAACAGACATTTAATCTGTAATAGAAACCGTTGGTAATAGCGTCCGCTCGCCCTCTCCACTGGTGCGGCCTTTGACTTTACAGCATCAATTTTGCAGAAATAAAAGAAGGCGCATGGAATTAGCTGAACCACACACGTAGTCAACCAAACTGTGCATTGCAAGGTACCATTTCAACTGTACTTAATAATTATAAAGGCAAAGAATTTTAAGGGGGAGAAGTATCAAGTATTTGTCGTTGTTGTTCTTTTTCCACATACAGAAGCTTAATCTTAGAGAATATTTGAATATATGTTATACAGAATTTTGGAACAACTCCACTTGATGACCCAAACACTTCACGTGTTCCTACGTGACCCCTTGTCTGCCATTGTTTCTTTAGGTAGATTCTGAACAGGAAAAGCCATTATAACAACACAACTTCTTCCCTTGCCCCTTACCAAAGTCCAAACATTTCTATGTGGTTTTCAAAACATATCTCCACTAACTTGTGTATTACTTCAACCTACCTACAACCTATCTATCTATATCTATCCTATTAATTACTGGACCGATTCAAATCTCATATTGATTGATGATGGAGTTGTTTGTCTCTGGTGTCAAATTCACTGTTTTGAGAATCAATAATATAAATGAACTGAAGTTTATCCAACTCATCAGGTTAAGCTTTTGGATTGAGTGGTTTTCTCAAAACAGCAATGTTCTGGAATTTTAAAGATGATGGTCTTTCATTTTCAGAAGAAATTAAACAGAGAGCAAAGTTTTTGCGTTTCATGTGGTGTAGAATATACAAAATTTGAAAAATACAGGATGATAGGAATATTAGAGGACTCTTTCAAATAGGACCTTGGCAATGTGGTAGTTGATTGTCCAAGGATCGAAATACGCTGCATAGTACAAACTTTTGGCTACGGTTAGAAATGTGTGCTTGATTTGGGAGTCAATGCCATTGCCCTCTGCCTCTTCCTCTGGTGAGTTTTGGATCACTAACTGCACAAGTTTCCTCATGTCTTCTTCTATCTCTGGGGGCATTTTGCTGTCGGTTTTCTCCTGGTAGATGTCACCGTTGCTCACCTGACAAATGACAGAATAAACAAGATTTGTTTACTATCTACGCAGGGTCCGTTTGGTAACGTTTCTATTTCTTGTTCTTCTTTCTTGCTCTCATTTCCAATTTGTTTCAAAACATTAATAAAAAGATTGTTTTACGATATTTGAATTCATAAATATTGGAGCCATGCAATTCATTTCTCATCATTAAATATGAAGAAATAGAAACGTTACCAAACGGGTCTTAATTTTGAGGGCTAAATATTAAGTAGGGAAAAGAAAAAAAGGTCAATGTAGTTGTGAGTTGTGAGTGATATATATTATGTGGCAATGAAAGGGTAATGAATGAATTAAGGGGGGAGAAAGGGGGAGGAATATAATCTTCTTTTTGTTATTGTGTGGGGTGCAATGGGTTGTACCTCTCTATCTACAAAAACACTAACCTTGTGCTTTCTAAAGTGACCAAGTTGATGGCACACTTTGTTTGTGAGGTAGGAAAGCTTCTGGTATTGAGGATTGGACAACAGATCCTCCAAAGTTGAACACCCAGAGTTGAGAATTATTGTTTGCACCAATAACTCTGCCTCTCCCTTGTGCACATCTCCATCCTCTTGCCACTTAAACAGCCAATTTTTCCACTACAAATTCAAAATATATATTCAAATTAGACCTACCTAGCTAGTAGCTGCTGCATTGTTTTGGGCACGAGCAAAAAGGGACGACCTTACTTGAATAGGATCTGATCTAGATTGCACGTCTATTTTCTTGAGTTCTAAATTAAAGAGCAAAAGGGGATTGTTTGATCAACTATTGAAAAAAGTTGAAGAGAGGAACTCACGGCTCGATGTAAATGGTGGGTGATGTCGAGACCGTGCGACACCAGTATATCCAAAGAGATATTGGTTAAGGTTCGTACCAAAATCCCAACTAGTCCTTGTCCTCCTTTTTGCATATTGCTGGATCTCCTATTAAAACAAATCCCAAAATCAATGACTTTTCCCAAACATATCTTCATAATAATTCTATCTTTTTCGCCAATAATTGACCCCACCCCACACAAACTAACCAACTTCAACTTCAACTTCCAACACACAATAATGTTCATGTTCATCAAAATCAAAAAAATTATTTTAATTCTAAGTAAAATCTAACAATAGAAGACAAAAATGTTATGAAATAATAATGTGTAATGTTTGTGTTAATTCCTTGTAAATGATTATAATATAATGCTAAATTAATAAAGGAGTTGGTGGGGTGGTGGTGTTTTTATTGTTGTTTTATTATATATATATATATATACCTGTGTGTTTGTCAGATATATTGTACATGATTAGATCCAAAATTTCTTGGTAATCTCAAAGTTGAGAAGTATATATATATGTAAGATAATAATATATAGTAGCCTTAGTGTGTGTTGGTTCATATATATAGTTGCAGTGGGGTACTCCAATTACATGACGAAGCATAAAACAAAACCCCACTATTGCATATTGTATTGTATTATTGTTGCGCAAGAATATAGATTGAAACGCAAACATCCACAAAGATGTTGACACAAATAAAGACACATGTATAGCTAGCTTGCCACTAAAAAAATAAATCCTAAAATTGAATTAAATATATAAAAAGAAGTAGGTATCCATTACCGTCTGTCAACATTGTGAAAGTTGGTAAATTGTTGGAGAAAGGCTCGGCGTTGGTCGGCGTTGGCATCCTTGAAATGGGAGGCGATGGCATCGACCAGAGCAGCGGTCTTGGTCCACGCGAGCCTCTCCTTGGCCCTTTCTGGTTCGAAAATGCTACACGCCGCACCAAAATATGAGAACACGAGCTTGGTTCTCCTCATTCCGTAATCTCGCAGCTTGTTTTCTGTGTGCCATCTGCATGCATGACCCCACCCCACCATGTACTTAATTAACTAGTTAATCAATCTCAATCCATTCAATTAAATATAATGGTAAATGGTAATTAATTATTAATTACTTTTGAATGTCGACCCACTCAATCTGATGCAAGAGTTGGCAGTTGTTGTAGTCCAATTTTGCAAGCTCCAAGTAAGTATCGTTGTTCACCTTGAACATCCTGAAAAATTATAATTAATTAATTTCATTCATAGTAGATAAACTAAATGCAATGATATTATTATACATATGGTTAAACATTTAATGGTGGCAAAGTTGCTACTAATAAAGAATTAAAGTATTTTTCTTCTTAATTAGTGCATATGTAACATTTAATGGTGGTATCTTAATTAGTACATGTGTAGGCGTACCTGTAGAGCGTTTTACCTATCCAGACATCATGTTTGCCACCATAGTGTTGGATGTAGAGACGGGTCTCGAGTCGAGGCAAGCTGGCAAAGTAGGGAACTTCGAGCGCGTAACCAACCTCGCCGGGCAAGTCCTTGGTTATGATCCACTTATCCAACAGCTCATTGGCGGCTTGTTTTTCCCGGAGGAATTTGGAGGAGAACTGCTTGGCCTCCTCCAGAATTTTCTCCCCCGGGAACATTACCTGGTCGGAAGCTCGGTACAGGTTGAACATTCCGGTCACCGCCTGCGTCGACTGCCCGGCGATGCACACGAACTCCCCCTCCTTCTCGAAATGCTTAAACACATCTGCAGAAACCTGGTGGCCGTACAGCCTGAGGAGTCTGAATCCCATGGCAGTGTCGTCTATATCGTGAAACTCAGAATTTCTGGCCCAACATATTCCCTCATCACTCCAATGCCTGCATTGATTAATTAAAACATCCATCATTTATATTAATTAGGTAATGAAATTTGTTATGGTATTAGTATTATCCATTAAGTAGTGTTGTTTATATTATATTAATTACCTGGCGACATAATTGACACAGTCAGCAATCTCAGAGTTAAAGAATCTAGAAATTCCAAGTCGTTGGAGACGGTCGACGGCCCAAATGTGTTCGAACAAGTCCACAGGGTACACGTTGGGTACTGGAGAGAGAGAATTAATAAAGTAAAAAAGTAGTGGTGGTAGTGGGGATTGGGAAAAGGAAAAAGGGAAAAAGTAAAAAGTAAAAAGTAAAAAGTAGGGTTGGTCGTGGAATTACCTCCACCATGAAATCGGTCGACAATAGTTTGCAAATATTTGAAGCAATTTGGGTTGTTGGTGTGCATGAGTGCGAAGGCAGTGGAAGATGGAGAGAAGAGGAAAGAGCCATCCTGGGATTGCAATTTAAGAAGCTTTTCCCAATCCAGCCCCAGCCCGCCCATCCCTTCCAAGCTGTGCAGTAGCGTCGTTGCCACTTTGTGCATTATCTCTCTCGGTATCCTGTTTCACACGCACACGCACATACACACGCCATTAGCACCTATACCTAGTGCCCTCGCTCCATTTCTCCATTACAACTCCAGCTCTCTTTCACCGCCCATTATATTATTTTTACTTATTGCATCTCAACCATTTTAACTTCATTAACCAAACAATATATACCTGGTTAGCTTTAGGTCTCTTCTGTCATTGATCTCTTGCAACACCGGGGAGTCCGTCGGGATTTGAAGATTTAAGTTTTTAGCAAATTCGAGGAGTGAGGGGAAAGCAATTTCGAAGCCGATGGGCATGTGCTCCGCATTCTCTTCTTCCAGCCGCCCAATGTTTTGGTTCAAGAACGCCAATCCTACGACATATATACAACATAAGATAATTGATTGAATTGAATTAAGGGATATATAAAGAAGGAATATATATATATATATATGTGGAGATGGCGCACCGTTTTGGGACTTTTGGGGATGGAGATTCCAATATCTCAAGGCGACGACGCAAGCCAATGTGTTGATGATGCGATCGTGGGGTGAGAAGATTTGGGTGTCGCCCCACGACCCATCAGGGAGTTGGTTGTTGGCTATCCACTCCACACAAGACGGAAACTGAGGACGCTTGCTTCCGTCCGCATTTGGAATCAGAGCCACCCACGCCGTGTCATAAGCCGAGATGCTTATGTCACCGTCCTCCATCGAACTCAGCATTGACTTTACGCATTTCACACGTTCCTCGATCTCTTTTGAAACCCACACCTATAATTACAATTTACCATTTGTTTACCTAGTTTCCTAGGTTTGGCTCGTAAACTGAGGGAACAAAAAACGCACAGGCACACCCACACCTCCAGCCTTTTTAGTGAACCCAATCACATCACATGCAAAGGGGTTTACGTTTTCGACTCTCTTGATATTAGCAAGTCATGGGTGCATGATGAGCATGTAACCAAAAAGCTAAAGCTTATTCAGTGAAACGGAAACACATGTTTCCAAATCAGTTACACAGGACCACCTCCACTCGAACCAAAAATTGGAAGATAACTCTGACATCTCCAAATTAAATATATATAGTATATACAAACAAACCCCGGATCCCACGGGTAATTCGTAATTTAATTAAGCTTAATTAAAGGTAATTAAAAAAGAATAAAAAGGAAAAATGGTACAAGTAGAAATTGTAGTACCTGGGTAGTAAGTTGTGATTCAATGTCATCCTCCACAAACTGGGGCCACTGTGTAACTGGCACACCACTGCCACTTTGAAGCACATCCGTGTAGCCTGCGGGGCGGCTCCATCCATCAAAAATTATATATTACCACAACTCAATTAAAACCGAGAAATAATATTACAAAAAGGAATTGAAATCCAACCTTGGCTTTGAGTTGGGGGTTTGGAAATGGCATTGCACTTGATTTCATTATTATTGCGTCCTCTCCTCCTGCACCTGCTTGCCTCCAACACTACAACGCCGCTGTCTTTCACCCTCAACCAGCTCCCACCTATATAATATTATTAAGTGAAAATACGTCATCACTATATAAGCTTATATTATTTAATTATGCGTATTTCAACAAGATAACATTTGTTGTTTTGCAACACTTATTTTATTCAGTTTATTACAATGCAACCCTGCATATATTTTCAACACTTCATCATCAAAGAGCATGGACGGATGACGATTGTGTGTGCAGAGAGAGAGAGAGTCGGGGTCTTTCCTTGGATTCCTTCATAACATATATAATATACAATGTAACAGAAGAAAACTTTGGTTTTTGTTTGTTTGTTTAAACTTTAAAAAGAAAAAAGAGGGTCAGACAAGGGGATCGGAAATTGAGCAAATGGGAGCACGAAACCCATTTCAGAATTCAGATTGTGGGGGCAAATAAAAATGGGAAAAAAAAAAGAAAAAAAAAAGAGAGAAAGAAGAGGATCAGAAGGTAGGTAGGAATTAGAATATAGAATATAGAATATATATATATATGTATATGTATATAATTAAGGAGAATGAATGAATTAATTAAGAATATGGTGGTGGTGGTGCAGTAGAGAGTGGAGGAAGCAACATACCATTAGCAATAGCAGGTGGTGGGGGGAGTAGTTGAATGGGCATGGGATGGGGATGGGCATCGGGAGAGAACAACAGAGAATTAGCAGAAGAAGAAGAAGAAAGGAAATGGCGAGAGGACATCATTTTTTTTTTTATTTTAATTTTGTTCTTCTGTGTTCACAACAAATTGAGGAAGCCAATTTAAAAGCAAAGCTGGGGAGGAAGAGGACAGAAACCACTTCCCATGAGATTCCCGCTTATAGCCCGCACAGGATCATCCAGCCATGGAATTGAGGGCACTCCTGTCCTTTTCCCTATTTCTTTTTCTATTTTTCTTTTCTTTTTCAATATTAACAAACCACCTCTCACTTTTTTTTCCCTAATCTGCCATTATATATTAAATTCATTGCACTTTCCACCACTTAATTTCCTTTCAAGGTTCATGGAATTTCCAATTCTACCATCTTAATGTACATTGCACATCTTCTTTATAGGCATTTATCACCCTTTTAACAATTCCGGTATGTACACCTTCAACACAATTTCAGTTGGCCGGTCATATTTTATTTCATGTCAAAAATAAATCCAATCACCACATTATTTTGAAAAATATAAGTATCAAAATTATTCAAAAATTAATCATTAATTAGGTGTGATTATACACCAATTTTTGTCATTGTCATCAAATTTATTTAGTTTTTATTTACAATATATTATAAACTAAAGTACACCCACAAAATAATGGATCTCAATATCCTTTTTATCATGTCAAGGATGAAGCAGAATCTAACAAATTTTACAGATGGAAGTTGGAGGAGCATTTTCATTGGCAGTGTCTGTGTGTTGTAATGTAAGGTCCTATAGGAGTAGGAGAGCAAATTTTTGGCCCATTTGCAACATCATAGTTTTCTTTTYTTTTTTTTTTTTTGGGTATTTTGTTCTTAGAATATATAACGTTAACTATTGCTGTAAAATATAATATATTGTAATCAATTTTCAAACAATACATTCTTATATTGCTGACGATTTTTCCTTTTCAGGCTCTAAGTTGAATTAGCAGATTAATAAATATTTCTTTCCATATTCTAGTCATAAAAAAGAAAATTAAGAAACTGAAGATTCTTGTCCTTTTCAGTTGCTCTTGGTTTAAATATACGCTAATATATTTATTTTTTTAATTTTATTGGATAATGGGATGGCCCTCCATCCTAAGACTTACGAGGCTTCGCTTAGCGGTTTCTTTTTTCCTCTATTTTATTAGAAAAGAGAAAACAAAAAAACATTCCAACGGTCAGATTGTGCGCTGCAATTCGCCATTCTGTTGCAGCCGTCCAGTGTATTAGTCACTGATGAAAAGTGGAGGTTTTAATAAATTAAAATATATAGATTTTTTTTAAGCACATATAGATGTTAGTTTTCTTTTTTTTTTTTAAGCTTCTGGACACGGAAGGGAATTTTGAACTTCTTGCCACTGTGTCAACATTCGAGAGTGCACATATAGATGTTAGTTAATAATATATAATCATGGAAATCGTTGTCGATATACAATTTTCAGTCATAATAGAAACAAAAATTCGGTTGAAATTTATTTGGCACGTGACTTAGTGTTTTCAATTTATTTATCATAAGTTTTGCTCTCGCATGAAATGAGGCTTATAAAGTTAGAGACTATATAATAAATTAATAATTAAGAGGAAAATCTTATGTTATTTCACTGTTTAATAATATAGTTTTCAGCTACTCCAAAAAATAATAATAATAATAAAAATAACAAAGGAATAGTTTCTTTCTTTTTTGTTGTTGTTTTTTTCCTTTAAGATTCTTTTTAATTATGTATAAATATACGTGTTTGATTAGTTCCACGATAATAGGATTAAGACTTTAATTGACTATATATTTATTGCACCATTCATTACTTTATCTTACTTTAATCATAAAGGGAGTGATTTTATGCACTATTCATTACTTTATCCTATAATTTTAATCGGGAAGTAATCAATCTAAATAAAAGTCAATATGGTTCATATTAAATAAAAATCTAAAGTTTTTTCTCCTTTTTTTTCCTTTTTTTGACAAAACCAAATCCTTATTTATTAATTAAGTTAGAATTTATGATAAAGATCCTGTCATATTAATTCAGTTGAGAGAATAAAATTGAATAACTACTTAATATGAATTTTACTGATATGATGACACAAAAGGAGAAGTTTTATCTTTCTCAAAAATAGTTTAAGATTTAAACTCTCTCTCTCTCTCTCTCTCTCTCTCTCTCTCTCTCTCTTTTTTTTTTGAGGAATACGATTTAACCATTTACTTGTAAGGAAGCAAGATAATTTATATTTTTGGGATGCTCAATATTCTTAGATAATTAATCACATAATACTCAATAATTTTAAAGTACTTTATATTTAGTTATCCATATAATACAACCGATGGAACAATTGTTTTTCCAACTAATAATATAAAGAAATATAGCTTTAGTATGAAACAATTTACAACATCGTTAATGAAATGCTAATATGATATGTTAGTTAGTTTATTCAACTAACTGTATATATCACATTATATGTTTGGTTAAGTTATACAAAGTAATGTTAGTTATATAAAGTAATGTAATAATTAAACATGTGAGATTAAGCATGACCCACGTGATATGTGACTCGTACTATTGACACAATTAGTTAAAAGTCCTAAGATATCAAACATTATTAGATGCCTAATATTGTCAATCTGAATATAACTCAACTAATTAAAACATATATCTTTCATCAAAAGGTCGAAAGTTCATAAAATTTAAATAAAAGTAAGCCAATACGTTTGTAATTAGAATAGTCCTTGAGAAGTTGTGATGGTAACTAAAGAAAAGAACAGATTAGCTACTGGAACAGAGACTAGCATCTGAATTTATTTGATTGATGTTTAGTGGACAAAACTAATATACCATGGCTCTATCACTAAAGTTTTGTTAAGGGACATTTACATAAGCCAAATGTGAGCAGTACATTTCGTTTGTTTTCATCCATTCCAATCCCTTCAAAATGATGCTTCCCAAAATTAAGAGGCCTTTGTCTCTCAATGGATCCTCTTTATTTATTTATTGGGGTTTGTTTTCAAGAAAGCTATGCTGGGTAACCTTTTTTTTTTTCTAATTTGAAAAATATTTTTGTATTCAAATTTCAAGAACCAAAAAGTATTATTTTTTTAATTTTAAATTTTGCGAAAAAAAAAGAATACCATTTATCAGTACAAAACAAAAACCAAATTGTAACGATTGGTTTGCAGATTTCAAAAGTATATCAGTACAAAACAAAAAACCAAATTGTAACGATTGGTTTACAGATTTCAAAAGTTGTTCTCTTAAGAGTCAGTTTAATGGGTTTATTGAATTCAGGTTTGACCATTAAACCCAGAGTCAGTTTAAAAACAAAAAAAAAAAACCAGTGAGAATCAAAATGTGTGAGTGATGATAATATCCAGTTTCAATGTACAGAGTGAGAGATTTGAGATATTTACCATTTCCCATAAGGCGGTGTATCTCATTTCAACCAAAGAAAAAGAAAAAAAATAAATGGGGGTTTGATTCTAACAATGAGATTTTTAAAACTCTATTCTTGGAAAAACCAGAGATGTGATATTTCACAATTCACACCGGGAACTTCTCTCTATCGTTTGCTCTTGGTCACACCTTCAACAACTCCTGAAATACAATTTAAAAATTCACACCATCAGGAGAACTTCTCTCAATCGTTGCTCTTGGTCACACCTTTAACAACTCCTGAAATACAATTTAAAAATACATGTATACAGGTCGGTGAATGGTTCAGTGGCTCCTGAAATGAAGATCCTAAATCAAATCCTACCAATATTCATCTTTTGGGTTCATAATTTAACAATGGTTTTGGTACCAAAAACAGTTCGGTCGAGATGGACCATACCTTCTCTTTCTGCTTGTATATGACATCAATCTTCTTCATATAGTCATCAGTTAGTTTCTGCACCAGCAAACCAGATACTCAAAATAAGGTGCAATTCAGCATAAACATTAAGAATCACAAAAGGGACATGGGAGAAATAAAACCCTTAATACTAATTCAACAGTGAATAGCTACAAGAAATTTCTTGACAATCCTGGAATATAAGCCCTGGATGATTTAAAGCTGGAGACGAAACTACTGAATTCAGTGAAAATATATCAGGTTTCAGAACAACTTGTGATTTAATGAAACGTTAGCACGAGGTTTGATGCCACTCGTCTATGGCCCTTTGTGTGAACGTATTCAAACCGAATGGGAAATAATTGATTTAGGACCAAAAACTCTAAATAACTGAGTTAACAGAAGCATCAACAAACCTGCAAATCACTTGACAAGTCCTTTACATTATCTTCTGAAAGTTTTTTCTCCTGACACAAAAAAAAAAAAAAGAAAGATAAAAGCATTAAGGAAAACAGAGTAAAGAGTGAGTAAAACTACACACTTGGAAGGCAGATCAATAGAATTTAGAAGTGGAAGAAAAGAACCATAAGATATAGATACAGAGATGTATGCTTTGCTGACCTTCTCGAGTTTTTCATAGGCTTTCAAAGCATCTCTTCTTATATTCCTAACTGCCACCTGTAAGCAGGTAGATGCAGGATGTTATCCAAGAGTTCGTATACAGTAGCTGTTTAAGCAAAGATCCCAAAAGTCTCAAAGTAGAAACTCAGCAATCTGCATCAGGACACATATCTCGATCTTTTCACCCCCCATCCCCTTTCCCAAAAACCAGAAAAATGAAACCATACCTTCCCTTCCTCTGCCTGCTTTGCAACAACTTTGGACAACTCCTGCAATGTAAATTACGCAAATATTTCATCATCCACGTTCAATTGCTAAGAATGTGCAGCTTGCCATTAGTGTCATACACATTGAGGTTAAATATTAGGAATTCACTGTACATCTAGGAATCAAAACTTCAGTAGAAATGTATTGAGTCATATGCTAAATGTACTTCTAAAAAAAATGAAACAATTTATTTTTTCCTTTTATTCGTGGATGGTTTATAAACTCCACAAAACTTTGACATGAGAAGATAAACAACTTTTTCCTACATCATTCAGCCCGCGTAAAACAAAAATTTTAGAACATAATAAAAAAAGGGAGATACAGTTAAATACAAAGGGTACAATAATAAACTTCCCTTAGGGAATGGTGTTACCCAAAAAAGTTTCAGTTTTACAGAAAGTTAAAACATATATTAAGCTTCAGAACCAGGAAATCAATATAACAGACACAGCCCCTCATTATGTTAATTAGCAAGCCAAGTTCTGCGTAGTGGTTTTCATGGTGAAGTAAAAAAATATAACATTCACCACCTACTCATATCTTTACAAGGTAGATGTTTTAAATAAGGGAAGTGAGGGTGTTCAGCATGGCTACAAAACAACATGAATTTTACAGAAATGATCCGCAAAGTGTAACTGCAAGCTCTTCTTCCATAATAATATCATAAGATAGTGAAAAGGAAACTGTAGAGCTGTAACTCTTTACTAAGAGTCTCAGATGACCATGCAAAAGTTTTTTTTTTCTTTTTTTGACACGATGCAGAATATAATTCTTTTAAACTGTTTTTTGCATATTAATACTTTATGAGATAAAACAATGTGAAAAAGAAAAGGTTTTGTGTAACATCTTGTGGAAAGATGTKAGCAAATGCAAAGGAAAATACCTTTCTTCTTTCGGATGTAAGTTGAGGGAGAGTTAACCGTATGACCTCTCCATCATTGTTTGGAGTCAATCCCAAGTCAGAGTTGACTATGGCCTTCTCTATTGACTTTAAGCTGAAGATGATGACTCGTTAAGAGTTAATGCTGATTTCCAAGAGACATATACAAATGCATTACACTGTACAGCTGGATGACATCATTTTACATCTGATAATAATAGGATGGTTATGTTCACAGCAGTCTCAACCAATGAAGTCAAAGACTCGGGATCAGAGAAGATTTAAAAGCTCCAGAACAAYGTGAAACCTTTTCTTCGGAAAAACAAGAATTACAATAACAAATTTCTGAAGTTCTAAGTAGGTTCCTAAAAGAAAAGAAAGATAATATGTACAAGTTTCTTGAAGTTGTTTCTAGTTCAGAAAAGTAGTATCTACAAGTTTCAAATGAATGAAGAATTAAGGGAGAACCTCAATATTCAAAATTTCACAGTAAAGGTATGGTGATCGAAGAAAACTTGCCCCTTCTTTTATACCCTTCCAATATGGTAAAATAACAAACTGGAATTTGGAAAAACTTAATCCTTATAATTCCTGTTTTCTGTAAGGCAAAGGGTGTATCGCATGAACAACATATCCCAAAGGGATCCAAATATGTTCAACCATTCAATCCAACTGGCACATCATTATACCTAGATTTATCGTATGGCTGGACCAAGAGAGAGCTGGCATCAGGTGTACTAATTTGGGCAATGCTCTTCAGGCTAACTGGACTGCCGTAATACTCCACCTGAAAAAATACTATGTTATTCCTTTTCCATATAAAGCAATGGCAGCTCAGCAAAAATTAGGACAGCCACGAAGACAATTTTGTATAGTAGACATATTGAAATAACTTATTGGAACGATACTCATCTGATATTTGGAAGGAAAAAATAAAGATTCAAAGTAGACATATTGAAACAACTTTCGACTAAAAAAGCTGGATTTAAGAATCTACACATACCTCAATCTTATCGAGCATTGAAGGGTTTGCTCTCCCGGTCCTAATTGAGTTGAAATTAGACCGAACTGTGTCGATAGTCTTTTCCATCCTTGATCTCTGGAAAATAATTGGATAGTTGGTCGCACAAAGTTATCTAATCTTAGATTACCTAATTCAAAGATACGGCAAGTCTCCAAACCAATGATCATAGGAACTTACTACATCTTTCTCAATCAAGGTTTTCTCCGCTTCAATTTCTTCGATAGTTGCAGCCTTCACAACTCCTCTTCTAAAATTTTTTCAGGGCCAAATAAAGAAGGGAGAAGAAGATCAACATAAATGAAATGCTGTCGCAATCAACTTTCGATAGCAATAACGCAATGACCAATCCAAATGAAAAATTCATGTACGTTTGCCAGACTGCCCCATCATGTTAGCACCCCCAAAATGTATAAAACTGGTCGTAAAAACGAGTCAAAGAACATAATTGACGAATACGTAGAGTTTCATACGCCAAATAATTGGTTGGTTATAGTCACTGCAACTCAAGAAAGTGAATGAAATAGAAGAAATTCCCTTGCCTGTTTTTCAACAGACTCCCAGAAACAATGACGTGGGAAGAGATCATTAGGGCATGCCGCTTGAGTCTGACATAGTTTGCAGCAGAGTTCCATGAATAAACATGCGCCGTATTCAACCCACATTTGACGCAATTTAACCCTCCATTATAATCTAAAAGGCGACCCCCATTTGGGGATGAAGAAATAAACATATAAACAAACAGAAATCAAGAAAGAGAATGCAATTTTTGGTAGAACAGTGACGTACCTCGTAATGAGAGGAGTGCTCTGGCGCGGTTGTGTTTGGGTTGGAAGACGGAACGAACAGAGATTGTTGAGAAAGGCGTCGCCATGAAAACCTAAATGAATTGAAGATGTTGACACTGAGAGAGAGCGAAGGAGAGGAATAGGATCAGGATGATAAGCAGTAGAACCACGGCTGGAGTGGACCTTGTCTACGACAACGGAGTGAAGGAGGTGTGGATAAGAAATTGAAATCGAACTGCTATCAGTGAGGGCTGTTTGGGTGCGGCGAATACATTATTCTGCGAGTGGATAAGCCTCTCCTGTGCCCGCATAGCATCAATTCACGAGTCGCCAACGCCAATAAATACAAGATAAGAAGATACTAAAGTTAACAGTGAAATCCTAATGAGGATGGAACTCAGCTGGGGCCGGGTGGTAATAAAAGTTATAGAGAGACATAAATAATGAGCCCCAGACCCAGTCCATTACTAGAAAGTTGAAACACGTAAAAAGATGGATTAACAGGAGTAATTAATTAACAATCTCCAACAACTTTTAACTTTTTATAAATGTACTGTAGAGGGTAGATTCCATTTCTATCCCCATTTTGACCCCTTCCAGTTCCACAAAATTAAACCAATCTCCAATTCTAGTTCTTTCTACTCCACTCCAGTTCGAGACCCACAATTTCTCTCTGTTCAGCCCCCGTAAGCCATGGTTTCCTGGAAGATGTGGTGGGCGATGTGGATAATAGGGCTGTTTGCAGTGTCGGTGGGTGCTGCGGTGCACAAAGTCGGCGACTCTGCCGGGTGGACCACACTCATCCCCGTCGATTATGCCAAATGGGCTTCTTCCAACAACTTCCATGTCGGCGACTCTCTCCGTAAGCTCCATCTTTAGATCTGCTTCAAGTTTTTGGTTGAATTGAAGTGGTAATTACTGCCTTCTTTGATATATGTTGAATGAATGAGTGATTTGCAATTGCATTGGCATTTGGCAGTGTTCTCTTACAACAACAAATTCCACAATGTGCTGCAAGTGAACCAGCAGCAGTATGGGTCGTGCAACTCGTCTTCTCCGGCTGCGTCTTACAACTCCGGCGCCGACTCCATCGCCCTGAAAAGGACCGGAACCTTCTACTTCCTCTGCGGCTTCCCAGGCCACTGTCAAGAGGGTCAGAAGGTGGAGATCAAGGTCACCCGAGCCTCATCCTCTGCAGCACTTGCCCTCTCTCCCGGCCCAAGCCCAAGCCCAAGCCCACTCCCAAATGGGCCTGCCCCCACTCCAAGCGCGGCCTCAACTCGCAGTCCCCACCACTTGCCCTTGCTGCTGCTGCTGCTGCTGCCTGCCTTTATTGTCGCATTTTACCATCTCTTTGTTTGAATTTGAATGCTTGGGTTGGGCTGTACCTCTTACATCTATCTGCTACYCTAAATATCGCACCTCTGTTGTTGCACTTGCGTTAAGGTGTTATAATCTTCTTCTTTGTACCATGCATGATATTTTATTCATGAATATGATGGATWTGCCCTTGTCACGTTTATATTCTGCCCTCTCCTAACTAATTATGCTAATTTAGTGCTATATTTTCCTACTTCCAAACTTTAGTTTTTAAATTCTCCAACTACATCTTCTAATTATAGACACCACAACAAGTTTACTACCTTATTTTTAAAATGGAGGATTATATTTGAAATCCAATCAAGTTGTATATCCACACAACTAATGTATTTGTTTTCTTTTTTTTTCAGTTCTCGCACAGGCTATCTTGCTAATTAAACTAAGTAATGATTATCTAGAATTTTAAGCCAATTTGGCACTATGGAGTAAAGACAAGCATATATAAAAAAAAATAATAATAAATAGAAAAAAATCAATTGAAAATGTATTTCTTTTATCATTAATTGAATCTTCTTGATCCCGGATGTTCCGTAAGAATCTATCTTATTCCTTTTATTCCACCATTTTTCAAAACCTCCATTCATATCGTCTTTCTGCTCGTGGTTCATACAAGTCTCCCAACCTTCTTTCCAAATGAACTGAACCTCGGTACCGGMAACTAAGTTCATATAACATGCTGCACCATAATAAAGATCGATGGAATGGTCTCCATAGAAAGAATATTGATCATTMTGCGTTCGTAAAAAGAAAGTCCAATGAGTGCGTACCTAGCCATTCGAGGCTAGCGAAGCACCATTGCAGTGGGGAGTCTTGCCCATTAGACTACTTTGTCAAGAATGGACTCTTATGTMTTTGTTTTATCTAGTTCACCTATATAAATTATCACCATAACTTATTTAATATTAATTTTTTAGAGTTAACTTAGATGAATTGGTTAATGTATATAACATTAAAAAAAAAAGTTTGAAGGTGCGATTTTTTTTGTTTGGTTGGACAAAATCAAAAATAAACTTGTGTACAATGTATCAAGTGGTACATTGACACAAAAGGTGCATATCACTATATATGATAACTAATTATTATGTTCTCATCAGAGTTAACAATTTTTTATTTTGCTAATTCAATATAATTGGTTCATGTCTTTGACCAATATCATGAATTCGAATATTCCATACAATTTCTTATAAAAACAAAATAAACAAAAACAATTTTTTTTTGGGAGGGAGTGAAATAAGAGAGGCAAGTAAAGGTAAAGGGAAGATAGTTAGCAGTTGGGGTCGATAGCAAGCACCAAAGCCGAAATAGCACGTGCGGAATCACTTGGTACATTTAGGACTACAAAAGGACATAGTGAAGCAACAGAAAATGAGAATACTTGCAAATTTCTTTTATTTTAAAAATATATTTTTGATCTMTGAGTTTGAATATAGGATCTGAACTCACGACATTCTAGTCGTACGTGGTTTAACCTATTTGAGTTAGTTCAAATTAGCTTTTAATTAATACTGTTATTTAAGTTACTAAAAAAAGGAAAGAATTGTTAAAAAATCGAAAATGTGTAAAAAGTGAAAAAACAGTTGATATTTATGATTTATGAAGCCAAAGCATTATACAAATAAGAAAAAATAATAAAAATAGAAGAATCCTCAAGAACGAGACGAATCAATTAAAGATATTAATTGATGGCGCGTGTGAAAGCAAAAACAGAAATTAGAATTAGAATTCAAATAATAATTAAGTATTACCGTTGGAGGAGTCGGACGTAACAAAATAATTAGATTAGATTAAATTTTTTATTATTATTATTTAATGTCAACCACAGCCTGTCACTGCGTAATAGTTACGCTCCTTCTGAAGAAAAAAAGAAGAGGGGTTTCTCGAARGTCCTTATTTTCGCGCCAGGGCAGAGAAGTTTTCCCTCCTCAGACTTCTTCGATGGAATTTCTGGAGCAGATCTCGATCGGTAACAACGCCATGAGGGTTCCTTACTCTTCTCTCTATCGCTCCACGACTTTACTCTCTGTTTTCAGCCATGTTCGTGAAGCAAGCTAGGGTCAAGAAGGAACCGAAGATGCGCCTTTTGATTTCTACTAGGGTTTTGATCGTCTTCACCGACAAAGTCTTCGAAATGTTCGGAATCAACAATCGACGACGAGATCAGAATGCGACCGCCAATGAATTCCTCTGTCAGAGGTATGACATTGTTGGTTTTCTACAATGGTACTTGAGACTTGGAGTTGATTTCAGATTATTAATTTTAGGGATTTCAGGGAATTTACACAGTAAAAACTACCACAATTATCCCTTAATTTAATACTTCTTAAGACTCAGTTCTCAATATTCGAATATTCAAGAACATCTTGATTCTTCTCAGATGATTCTCCAAAGTAGGCTTTCAAATTACACTGAGTACATTCTCCATTATACTCTCAATAATACTATCAAGTCGGAGTATGTTTTTTTTAATAATATATTTTTTCGTTCGCTGTTTTTTTTTATGTATTTTATAATCAAAACTTTAGTAAGACATATGAATTATGTAATTTATAACACAATCTCGCTAGTCCTTTGTTAGAAAGCCAAAATAAGTAATCACTTGAGAAAGTGGCATAAGGAAAAAGGGCAAAATCCYAACCGGAGATATTCTCGAACCAACATTGAGAGTTTTTAAGATAATTAATTATGAACTTATGATTTTATAGCAATAACGCCACAAACTGGCAATACAACCTGTATTATACAATTTAATGGTTTGGATGGATATCATATATTGAAGTAAAATTTAAACAAGTCTAGAGCATGTGATCATTCAATTACTTCATTAATTCTAATTGGCCACGAAGTTGATATTTTAGGTTTAGATTCTCTGAGATTGCAGTTTGTGTTGTTATTCAACAATATTGAAAATGTGATAAGTTTGTTAATATTTGAAAACTTTTTGACATTTTTTTTTCCAATATTGAAAATGGGATAAGTTTGCCTGTAAAAATGTTTCGTTTGTTGGTTTAGTAACTACATGCTATTGTTACTTCTGTGTGTTTTTCTTTTTGGGGTTTTGATGAAAGACCAACGACCATAAAAGAAGACATGGGGTCTTTTTTTTTTCTTTAAATATTTTTAATAAAATGATTCTTGTTTTTTCCATCTCCTTTTACTTTGGTTTTGACTTTGTGTTTCTGGATCTGGACAGCAGCAAGAATTGGTAAAATAACTCTATTTTATTTATTTTAACTTGTTCTTTAATGCTCTCTTTGACAGCTTGGCTCTTCCGTTCTCTTTTACTTGCAAAAATATTTATTGTTCAAAATTGG